GGGTAGGGTAGTATTTGGGTATCAGGTCAGGGCGGCATTGTGAATGGCTTTGTAGAACAGAGTTAGCAGTTTGAATTTGATGCGTTGGGCAATCGGGAGCCAATGAAGGGATTGGCAGAGGGGGGAGGCAGATGTGGAGCGGTTGGTGAGGTGGATGAGTCTAGCCGCTGAGCTTCGGATCGACTGGAGTGGGGATAGCGTTCGTTTGGGTAGGCCAGTGAGAAGGGAATTGCAATTAGTCCAGGCGTGAGATGATGAGGGAGTGTACGAGTTGTTTGGTGGTGTCTGGGGTGAGGAATGTGCGTATCTTGGAGATGTTGCGGAGGTGGAGCCTGCAAGATCTAGATAGCAGTTGGATGTGGGGTAGGAAGGAGAGGTGGGAGTCCAGGGTGACACCCAGGACTTTGGCGTGTGGGGGGAAGACCAGGAGCTTGGTTTTTGATAGGTTAAGTTTGAGGAAATGGAGCGACATCCAGTCTGATATGTCGTTTAGGAGGTGGGCGATGCGGGCAGAGAGTGAGGGGGTGAGGTGGGGGGTGGAGAGGTAAATTTGTGTGTCGTCGGCATAGAGGTGGTAATTGAAGCCGTGGGAGTGAATACGTTTGCCAAGGGAGGAGGTATAGATGGAGAAGAGGAGGGGCCTGAGGACAGAGCCTTGGGGGACCCCGACAGAGAGGGGGAGGGAGGGGGAGGTGGCAGTGTTGTAGGTGACGCTGAAGGAGCGTTGGGAAAGGTAGGAGGAGAACCAGGAGAGAGCAGCGTCCTTGATGCCAAGGGAGTGCAGTTTGGCAAGGAGGAGAGGGTGGTCAACAGTGTCGAAGGCTGCGGAGAGGTCAAGGAGCAGGAGGTTAGAATAGTGGCCATTGGCTTTGGTGGTTAGCAGGTCATTGGTGATTTTAAGTAGGGCGGTTTCGGTGGAGTGCAGGGGATGGAAGCCAGACTGTAGGGGGTCAAGGAGGTTGTTATCAGTGAGGTGGGCGCTTAGGCGATTGTAGACCAGGCGCTCAAGGAGCTTGGAAGTGAAGGGCAACAAGGAGATGGGTCTAAGTTTGTTAAGGTTAGTGGGGTCAAGGGAGGGTTTTTTGAGTATGGGGGAAATGTGTGCGCGTGCTTTAGAGGGGAGGGGAAGATGCCGGTGGAGAGGGAGAGATTGAAGATGTGGGTGAGGGGGAGCAAATGATGGAGGGGGGGGGGGGTGAATGGAGGAGCTGTGAGGGGATAGGGTCCAGGGGGCAGGTGGTGATGCGGGCTTCAGTGAAGACCTTGGAGACCTCCTCGGGGGGTAGTTGGGCTGAGGGAGCGGAGTGTTGGGGAGGTGATGATGTGTGGGGGCATTAGGTATAGTGGGGGGGTAGTGCGACTATGAGGTCAGGGGAGGGGAGGGTTGAGGGGTCGAAGGAGGGCGGGAGGCTGGGTGGAGAGGTGGATTGTGAGTTGACAATGTCCTTATGGTTTGCGTCAATCTTGTTTTGGAAGTGTTTGGCAATCTCGTGGGCGGTGAGTTAGGTGCTGGGTGGGGGGGGGGGGGGAGAGCGGGGATTTGAAAGTGGAGAAGAGCTGACAAGGACAGGTGGAAAGGGTGTTGATAAGGGTTATGAAATAGGCTTGCTTGGCGGCGTGGAGGGAAGTGGTGTAGGCGAGGTAGGCGGCTTTATAGAGGGAGAACGCGGGAGGGGATCTGGTTTTGCGCCATAAGCGCTCCAGCGCGCGACTGCGTGGTTTGAGGCATTTCATATGGTTGTTTTGCCAGGGTTGAAGCGGTCGGGGTCTAATGCTACGTGTTGTTAGGGGTGCCAGGGAGTCAAGGGCAGCTGACAGTGAGTCGTTGTATGCAGTAGTGGCCAGGTCAGGGCATGACAGAGGGAGGATGCTGTCATACAGACGGTCAGCTGCTGGGTGGAGATGGGTCGGGTTAAGATTGCGGAGGTTGTGGGTGATGGTTAGACGCTTTGGGGGGGGGGGGTTGAGGTAGGGGGAGATGGAGAGTGTGAGGAGGTGGTGGTCAGAGAGGGGGAAAGGGGATGTTAGTGAAGTCGTGGGGGGTGCAGAGGTGGGAAAAAACGAGGTCCAGGGTGTTTCCGTTGGAGTGGGTGGAGGACTGAGTGTGCTGTGTGAGCGCGAAAAGGAGGAGGTTAGAAGGAGGAGTTGGGAAGTAGCCGGGCTGTTGGCGTTGATCGGGATATTGAAGTCGCCTAGGATGATGGTCAGTAGCTCGGAGGAGAGGAAGAAGGGAAGCCAGGCGTCAAAGTCGTCAAGGAAGGGGGATGCGGAACCAGGAGGCCGATAGATTACCACAATCCTTAGGGGGGTGGGAGAGAAGAGCCGGATGCAGTGAGCCTCGAAGGAGGTGAAGGATAGGGAGGGGGGGGTTAGGGAGGACCTGGAAGATGCTCAGCGGTGGTAGGAGCATACCGACCCCTCCACCTCTGCGTCTGCTCGGTCTGGGTGAATGGGTCCAGACGAGGCCTACATAGGAGAGGGCAGCAGGGGAGGTGGAGTCAGTGGCTTGGATCCAGGTTTCGGTGACCGCTAGGAGGTTGAGGGAGTGGGAGACAGAGGTCGTGGATGGCGGTGAGCTTGTTGCAAACCAAACAGGCGTTCAGGAGTGCAACCGAGAGGGGAGGGGTGGATGTGGGGAGGAGGGGGACAGATATGAGATCGAGGGGGTTGCGGTGGTTGGCGTGAGTAGGGAGGTGCCGGGAGGGAGAGTGGGGAGATGGAGGGCCAGGGTTCGGCGAGATGTCACCGGCAGTTAGGAGAAGGAGGAGGGTGAGGAAGGTGGCATGGGAATGGGAGGTGCAGGAGCACGTGGGTCGGTTGGTGGTGGCTTGTGGGTCGGCAGGGGAGTGGAGTAATAGGAAGAGGTGGTGAGAGCCGTAGAGGGGGGGGGAAAGAAGTGAGGGTGGGATGTAGAGGTGTTTTGGGGGGAGTAGGGGGGTAGAGGGAGGCAAGTTTGGGGTTGGAGGAGAGGGAGAACGAGAAGTGCAGGTGGCATGCTAGGGTGGGCAGAATGCTGATCGGGTCGGAGAGGAGGGAGGTTTCAGTCAGGACGTGAGGATGGGGAGAGTCCATTATGCCATGTCGGAGTTCATCAGTGTCCAATCGTAGGAGGTGAGAGGGAGTGGTGGTAGGCGGCTGGGGCCGCAGCTGGCTGGTTGCAGTCTGTGGGTGCTGTAGGCCGGCGTCCGCAGGTGTTGTGGCACGGCGTCGGTGGACACAGTGGTGCGGCGGCTGGACGAGCCGTGGGACGCGGTGGTTGGAGGCATTGGAGGCCCGGCGTCGGGAGGCATTGAGTGCACAGCTTCAAGAGGTGATGAGGGCCCGGCGTCAGGAGGTGTTGAGGGCCTGGCATCAGGAGTAGCTGAGGACCTGGTGTCAGGAGACGCAGAGGGCCCGGTGGCAGGAGGTGCAGAGGACCCGGTGTCAGGGGGTGCTGAGGGCCCGGTGTCAGGGGTGCTGAAGGCCCGGCGTCAGCAGGTGGTGTAGGCCGGCGTCGGGAGGTGATGTAGGTGGTGTGGATCGACGTCTGGAGGTGGAGTGGGCTATGCGTTGGTATTTGTAGTAGGGCTCGGCGTCCGTGGGCGAAGTGAGCCAGCGCAGGCGGATGTTGTGGGCCAGGTGCTTAGGGCTCGGCGTCAAGAGGTGCTGAAGGGCCCGGCGTCAGGAGGTGTTGAAGGGCCGTTGGCAGGAGGTGGTGTGGACCGACGTCTTGAGGTGGAGTGGGCTATTTGCAGTAGGGCTCGGCGTCCGTGGGTGAAGTGAGCAGCGCAAGTGGATGTTGCGGGCCAGCGACTGAGGGTGCTAGGGGCCCAGCGTCGGTGGGAGTGGTAGGGCCGCGTGGCAGGCTTGACTCTGCCGGATTGGACAGGGTTTGGGCTGTTCGGTGGTAAGTGCCCGGCCGCGTGGTACCCGGAGGGAGGGAACTGATAGTGGAGGCTTACCCTCTTGATGCGGATGGTGGAGGTGCGGCGTCGTCTCGATTCTGGAGAGGTCCCTGGTCTGGGTGCCTGCTGATGCAGGGTGCTAGGCGGCCCGAAGCAGCCCCCAGGGAGGGCCGCCGGGTACGGGCAGCTGGGTGTCGGTAGCAGGGTGTCCCGAGGTGGCAGCTGGGTGCCGGTGGCTGGATGCTGGTGGCCTGAGGTGGACTGAGAGCCAGTGGGGAGGGCTCCAGGGAGACGGGCAGGTCGGCGGGCTGGGTGGTGGAGCAGCAGTCCACCGTTGGGTCGAGCCGGTTTCTGGTGGTCAGCGAGGACCCAGGGCTGATGGGGAGGGCCCTGGGGAGGCAGGCAGGTCGGCGGGAGCTGGGGGACAGAGCGGCGGCGGTCCGGGCAGATGTCCGGCGATCCGGGTCGGCCGCAGCAAAAATCGAGGCCGCGGCTTCGGGTGCGTGGTAGGCTGCGATTCCCGGAACTCCGGGAAAAGGTCCGGTGGCCTGGCAGGGACCAGAGTGTCGTAGGGGCCCCGCTAGGGTCCGCTGCGGCCTGGATGGCAGCGGATTGGGGCTAGGAGCGCAGGAGCTCACTGATGTGCGTCCGCTCCCGCCGCCATCCTGCCCTGTCCCAACTTTTTTTTAACATGTTGCCACCAGTTTTTAAAATTAAATTTAGAAAATGTACCATTTTACACTAGCACTAGCCTACAGGGCACTTATACATCCTTCCTGCCCAGGCCAATTTCCAGTTTTCAGCGCTGTCACACTTTGAATGACAATTGCGCGGTCATGTAACACTGTACCCATATGACATTTTTATCATTTTTTTGAAACAGAGCTTTCTTTTGGTGGTATTTAATCACCTCTGGGATTTTTATTTTTTCTTAAACCAAAAACCACTAAAAATTTTGAAAAAAAAAAAAACGTTTTTTCTTAGTTTTTGTTATACAGTTTTGTAAATAAGTGATTTTTCTCCTTCATTGATGTGCGCTAATGAGGCTGCAGTGATGGGCACTGATAGGCTGCACTGATGAGGAGGCACTGGTAGGGTGCACTGATGGGCATTGACAGGCATCACTGATGGGCACTGAAAGGCAGCACTGATATATGGCACTGTTAGGCGGCACTGACTGGCACTGTTAGGCGGCACTGACTGGCACTGATAGGTGGCACTAACTGGCCCTGATGGGTGACATTGAAAGGCAGCTCAGATGGGCACTGATATGTGGCATTGATGTGCACTGGTATGCACTATGTGGCATTGATGTGGCACTGATGGGCACTGGCACGTGGCACTGATGAGCACTGACAGGTGGCACTTCTGGGGCCACACTGATCATCAGGGCACACTGATCATCAGTGTCCTGATGATCAGTGTACATGTCCCCTCTGTGGATAGCCGATTACCAGCTCTCCTCTCCTCTCGAGCTGTCAGCGTGACAGCTCGAGAGGAGAGAAATGCCGATAACCTGCATTTCCATGTTTACATGTGATCAGCTGTGATTGGACACAGCTGATCACATGACCGAGCCGACATCTTCGGCTCTTTCCATGATCCGCTGTGTCCGAGGGACACAGCGCACTGGCGACCTCCGTGCTGCGCGCTCCCTGAGCTGCGCATGCGCAGTGAGAATGGTAGGACGTCATATGACTTCCTATCAGAACGAGAGAACCACCTTGCGCCCGTCATTGTACTATAGGGCAGGTGGAAGGTGGTTAAGAAAAAATAAGGTTAACACTTGATATGTTCTTTATTTTCTGTTGTGAATAAAATTAGTTTGAGATTTGCGAATCATTGTATTCTGTTTGTATGTAGATTTTTGGATGGCCTTGTATGTTTTGCTGCTGCTAGACTAATACACCTGAAGAGAGGAAAAACAAGCGCTGTCTAGGTGTAGGATTAAAATAACCATTTTAATAATTGTAAACAATTGCACTCAAAAGAAAATACGTCTAGGCATAACAGTATGAGAGTTGTCGTCAATACCAGTCCCGGACCGCAGGAGATGGAAGCTTTGAGCCCGCTGGCAGGATGTTCTGAAGGATCCCAGGGCTTCCTGGTTGCCGTGGAACGCAGCATGGCAAGCAGAAGTGATGTCACAACCGGAGCTGCCGATTTAAGATGGTGACTCATTGCAGAGCATGCGCTCTTTCTTACAGGCCATGATTCTTCTCCATGATTGTGCATACTCCACATCACGTCGCCATCTTTGATCGTCAGTTCCGGTTGTGACCTCACTTCTGCTTGCCGTGCTGCATTCCACGCCGACCAGGAAGCCCTGGGAGCCTCCAGAACATCCTTCCAGCGGGCTCACAGCCTCCGTCGCCTGCGATTCGGGACTGGTATTGATGATAACTCTCATACTGTTACACATGACTAGACATATTCTTTTCTTGTGAATGCAATTGTTTACGATTATTAAAATGGTTATTTTAATACTACACCTAGATGGCGCTTGTTTTTCCTCTCTTCTGTCCCATTCACAGAGTCATCTCCTGCTATAACTACAAGCTGCCTCCTAGTGGACATATTGACCTCATTAGGTCCTTTGGACTTTCTTATTTAGAGTTATCCTCTCAATGTTTTTGCCTAGTAGCGCTCAATTTCTTTGTTTATTTTATGCCTAGACTAATACACCTTACTAAACGATCAGTGATTGCTGCCCTTCTCTGCCAATCTCTAAAACTGGCTTCCACTAGCCCAACTTATAAAATTCAAAATACTAACTACAACATACAAGGCCATCCACAACATCGCCCCCAGCTACATCACCAACCTCATCTGCAGATATCGCCCAAACCACCCTCTCCGCTTCTCCCAAGACCTCTTGCTCTGCAGTTCCCTTGTTACCTCCTCTCACCCTCGCTTCCAGGACTGCCCCAGTGTGATTGGTTAGCTCCTACCCTGTGCTCCTTTAGACGATCCTTGAAAATTCATTTATTCAGGGAAGCCTACCCCACCTCCACCTAAGAACTGTACTTGAGTCACCTTCATCAGATCATCCCCTGTAGCTATTACTTTTTTATACCACCTCCCTTTAGATTGTAATCTCCATGAGCAGGGCCCTCCAATTCCTTCTGTATTGAACTGTATTGTAATTGTACTGCCCCCCTTATATTGTAAAGCGCTGCGTAAACTATTGGCGCTATATAAATCCTATATAATAATAATTTTACACAGGGTCCCAACATTTTTGGAATTGGGGTTGTTTTACATGGGAGGTGGTAGAAATAGTAGTTTACAAATAATCGTGCTTTTGGTTCAGCTCACTGGAAGATCAACAATTATTTTCTGTACTTTCTGAAAATGATCTTTGCTTGAAAAAAAATATATAAATGTGTTTTTTGTGTTTAGATATTATTTAACATATAGTTATTTTAAATAAAAAGTACCTCTTGCCTTCCACAGTTGTGCACCAGTTTTGTGAAAAATTATATAGCTTTAAATATTTGTATTTTTTACAGACTGGACTGTTTCTTTGTATTATTTCTGGGCGTGTATCCTGTGCTGCACAGAGGAAAGGATTCAAGAAGAAAGGGACAGTGTAAGTGCCACTTGCTATTATCTCTCTACCCATTCTCAGTATTCTCTTGTATTTACTCTTTTCCCTTGGTAGACAGCTTTTGAATATGGATACAACATTGCATATAGATGCAACAGTGTACACTAAACAAAGCATACCTGCATTTAGCTGCTAAACCTGTTCTCCATATTTAGCTGTTCAGCTTTGCAAAACCTGGACAATGATACAGGTCCACGTAACCAAGGCTTGGTTTGCTTCTGTTCATAACATAAATTCTTTTTCAAGCTTTTATTTTAATTGTGATCATATATCAAACAGTATCAAAAGTATCAGGCATGACATTTTTTTTCTGCTGTTGTTTGTTTACTCATAGATCAGGACTCCAATGTTCCATATTCCTGCTTCTTCTTGTTAGTGTGTCTTGGATCCTTGCTCTGTTGTCCGTGAACAGTGATCTACTGTTCCTACACTACACTTATGCAGGTGTTGTCTGTGCTCAGGTAATTAAGACTTTTCTTTTAACTAAATGCTTTCCAAAGCCTAGTGACTATTCATCTAATAACGGTGTCTCTTGGCAGGGTCCTCTCATCTTTTTGATCAGTGTGATATTCAGCAAAGATGTACACAGGTCACTTAAATACAGCTTTCGTAAGGTGAATGAACCTAGTTTCACTACAAAGTCCACCCTAACCTCGGTAACTACTGCATTATGGTTCTGTTTTCTTTTCAAGTTCTGCTCATAGACCTATTGTAGATTGTGTGCATTTTGTAATTGCAGCATATTATGCATCTAATGATATGATGAATTGTCTCTTACAGTCAAATCCACATAACCGTTATGCAGATGGTCAGCTTTATCATATGCCATTTGGTTCTTCAACTGGCTCTTTGCACAGTTCTATACCTTCAAGAGGGAGCCATTGTTACCTGCCAATCTTGCTCAGGTGAGACACTGTTCTATCATAAGGCAAGCATGTAAAACCCTGTAATCTTACTCATAAATATATTGAGGGACATTTTATAACCACTTGACCTCTGGAAGGTTTTTCCCCCTTCATGACCAAAGCATTTTTTTGCTATTCTGTACTGCGCTACTTTACTGGTAATTGCACTGTCATGCAACACTGTATTTAAAAGAAAATTATGTAATTTTTTATTTCACACAAATAGCTTTCTTTCTTTTGGTGGTATTTGATCACCACTGTTTTTTTAATTCTTTATTATATAAATGAAAAAAAGACCAACAATTTTTTGGGGGAAAGAACCATATATTCTACTTTCTGTTATATAAACCTATCCAATAAAACAAACACAAAAAGCCAAATTTCTTCATATATTTAGGCCAAAATGTATTCTGCTACAAGTCTTTGGTAAAACAAAATCCCTATAAGTGTATATTGATTTGTGAGAAATGTATAGCGTCTACAAATTATGGTATATATACTGGCATTTACACAATTATGATGCTGTACTGGTAATGGAGGTGATCAGCAACTTATAGTGGAATTGTGCTAGTGTGGTGGGCAATCTGACGCTGGTTGGGAGGTACACTAACTGACAGTGACATCAATAGTGACACTAATACAGTGATCAGTGCTAATTCTGTACACTGTCACTGTACTAATGACACTGTCTGGAAAGGGGTTAACATCTAGGTACAATCAAGAGGTTATGGCAATGTGTGTAACATATGCTGCTTTTACTTCATTATATGGCTGTTTTCTTCTTCCCTTTTTTGCAGAGAGAAAAACAGCCAGATTGGCGCTCTCTGTACACAGAGTTCTGTGTTTTGTGTGTGATTAGACACAGCTGATCAGCTGACTTCAGCCAAAATTACTGGCTGAAATCAGCTGCCAAACACAGCAAGAGTCGGCAGGGGGAACAGATGCGCGCACTACAAACCCAAACAGAGGCTGATCATGTAAATATATGTGACTGTGCCTGCACCTGCCACCCCACCGCAGTAAATGTACTGTGGTGGGGCGACAAGTTATTAAGCAAATAACAACACAGATGCAAGTATGGCTGCCTTTCAAATACAACAGTTTTGAGAGCTCTCCGCCTTGCACAGGTCTGTGACAGATTTACCACTGGAGATGAGACATTTTTTTAATCAAAACAGGCACACAAGTGGTCAGGAGCAATTTTTTTGTCACACTGCTATTTTAGAGCAGTTTAGAGGGGACGTATGATTTAGGTTGTTTAGTTACAGTATAATACATCTATCTCAAATTTGCCTCATTGCTCCTCTCTAGCATCCTATAGCTTTGCTTTATAAATACCCCCCGATGTGTTTTAGTGCCCAGAGCATCTTATAGTCAGAAGAAATAGTCCCCTACAAACATCTAGTCATAATCGTGTTCAGTGTTTTTTTCTTTAAGGGCAACATGTACACAAGTCATTCTCTATTTCAAAATATATTTTTCTTTCTTGTCCATGAAGGGGCACAGACATTCAGATGCTGTCAGGCTATACTGCTGCCTACAGAAAGATTGGGCGCAGGCAAACATACTGCAAGCCAGCCCTGGATTACCACTCCTTTTTTTCTAAGTTTTTTGGTAGTGTCCAAGGAGATGCAGATTTATTTAGCTGCTGAAAAGAGCCTAACCAGTCTTGCTAGCATTTTGTATTCACCAATTTTTCCTTAGATTCTTCTATTGACGCCAGAATTCATCACTACATTGGTGCTTTAGCTATATCAAATCTGCCTCGCTGCTCTTGTTGAGCATCTCCTATCCAGATTCAGCCTTTTCCACCTGGACCCCTGAAATGGACTTGGGGAGATAACCTGAAATGTGTCCTTAATGCCCTGGGCACTGCATTATGGTGCTTTCCAGGCCTGTGTGTACTGGAAAAAATTAACATCAGAGTGCTATTTTTGCTCAGAGCTGTGTCATTGCCACAAATATGACCCTGTTTCTGAAGACTCAATTTAATAAGTAAGGCTGGTTATGTGGAAGCTCCAGGAACTACCACACTATTGCACTACTGGGCTTCTTTCAAAT